TTTAAGTTAAACAAGGTTGTTATATAGTATTAAAATGATTTGGTATATAAATAAGTAAAGTAAATGAGGTTTAGAAACTCAAACTTAGTATTTAATTAGAGAATATGCTTAGTAATACCGTATACTCGTATACGGCGTATACGGAAATTTTTTACTTATGGTATACGCATACGCGCGTAAATATACGCCCGTATTTTCAGCTAAAATTTTCTCTTACGATACGGTGCGTAAGCGTATACGCTGCAGGCGTATCCGTAAATTACGCTACGGTGCGGAGCACTACTCAGCAAGTTCGTCACTTTACCCTGTGTATCATCTGCCATGCCTTCTGTCGGATATGGGCCCGCTGGTTTAGCCTAAACACACGATGGATTTGTAGAAAAGTTGTAGTGCAGGAGGTAACCCATCTCCAGCCAGCAGAGATTGTAGGATCCTGGATAACACATGGAAAAGTTCAGCCTCCACTTCCTGGTGACCTTTTTTCTCTTTTCGTATTTCCGGATATAACAAAATTGACTCACTTGTATTGTATATAATATTCTTAGTGTAGTTTGTTTTGTTGGACTTTGCCGGTCTTCATTCTCCTGTCATGATGTTTTGACTATTTGCTATGATATGGAAGATATTGTTTTGCTCTGAAGTTGTGCAAATGCCTTTTTATGCACTGTATTCACACAAAATCTATTGTAAGTGGTTAAGAACACCCCCAAGAAGTTTTACAGATATCACAAAGCATGGAACACCTCTCCTCATTTACTAATTACTTCTTTCCCTTCGGTTTTATCCTCGAATGTAGTAACACGAAATGAATAGACTGGATTTAGATTGTCTATCCACCAAAGCGCGCTAACCTTCGCCGACGCATCTCTTCGACGTCCACTTGCGCGGGTGGAGCGGGAGGCTCGTCTTCTAACTCCTCTTCAGAGGATTTCTGTTGCGAACTTCCAGCAGAATCGACACCACCCGTAGCTTGGTTTGTAGATTCTGGTGCAGGAACAGGAACAGGGGCAGACAAAGAGTCAGGGGCAGGGACTGAGACAGGCTTCGACGGTTCACGTCGAGCAGGTGAAGAAGGGTGGGCGAACCCTTCTGGCATGGATCGTAAAGATGCGCGAAGAGCTTCTTGTAACTGTTCGTCTTCATCGTCGTATACTCTATGTACTTCTTCATATTGCGTCGGAGGAACAGCAGCAGCAGTTGTCCCGGGTGTACTGCTAGAACCCGGAGTACCCGGTGACGCGCGAGTCGGTTGACTTCGACGCGTTGGTGCATTCACGTTTTCTTTATCCCCCTCGTCAGCGTCTTCTTCTGGTACCCACTCTCCGTCAGCATCATCTCCTTCGTCGAGTAGTATTGGGGTTCGCCTTTGATTTCCACTGTTGTTATGTTCAGCGACACTAGCAGCGATGGCGCGTTCCAATTCTTCCTGTTCTTGTTCTTCCCTCGTTCTTTGTAGTTGAGATGGCGGTCTACGCCCAGAGACTTCATCTTCGTATGTCTCGCGTAATGCGGCTTCTTGCATACGACGCATACGTTCGAGCATTTGTGCGTTACGCGCCATACTAGCTGCGACTGGGTCCGAGTGTGGGGTTGCTGATGATGGAGCGATAGCTGAAGGCGGCGCGCTTTCTATGATCATGTCGTCGTCATCATCGTCTACTACGAGAGGAGCAGAGCGTGTCCCAGGAGGAGTTGGTGCCCGTCGGAGCGCTGGAGCGGGAACAGGTGCTTGCGGTACGTACGCGTGTTGGCCGAAAGAGTGGTCCGCCCCGGAGAGTGATGCTGCGAGTGCTGCTTGTAACTCGACGTCTTCGTTGTTGATGTCGAAATCTCCTTCGTCGGGGATGACAACTTCGCTGGTGTCTTGTGCTCCTTGACTACTCGGAAAAGCACCAGGAATGGAAGATGTCGTATCTGGGGAATCAAGTGTTGCGGCCGCTAAATCTACTTCTGTTCGCGGAAGCGCGAGGGGTTTGTTTGGGTCTTCTTGGACAACTGCGAAGACCGAGTATCCTGAATGCATATAGTTAGCATTCAGGCGCATATATGTTATTCGGTCCTATGACGAACCCTCTTCCTCGGACTGTCGAAGGAACATATCGAGGTATGTTCTGCTGACCCATTTTGGGCGGTCATAAGAACTGTTCAGGTTGAACCAGTGTCCTTCGCCTGGATCTGAGTCTGCGCTGGTCTGTGCGGGACCAAAGCGGCGCAAGGTGAACCAGTGCTGTTCGAGGTTCAGCACGAAAGCTAGTTGTTTGCTATGGCTCCGATGAGCAAGACTCCATACAGTCACATAAAAATACTGACTGTGGTGCGTCTTGGTATGGGCGCATTTGTTCACTTCGCCATCGTACTAGACTACAGAGCGCATATAAACAATCGCGTAATGAATACGTATAGTGACCTTTGTTACCTTAACCCCCACACGTCTAAGGCTTTGTCTATGACTTGGACCGAGAAGAAACCTGTGTCGTCCATGTTATGGCTTCCAGATTGGCGCGGCTGACTTTCGAGCGCGTTATGTTCGAGCATATCGAATGAGTTCGCGATGGCAGCTAGATCGGGAGCCGTGAACTAGGATTGTAAGGTGTCATTACACCTCTCATTTCACAGGTTAAGTCGCGCATACATAGTTACCCTCTGATAGATTCACATTTCAGCAAATTATGCATTGATACGAATATATCTACACGTACGAAGTAGCGAATTGAGCGCGTGTTGTGCGCAAAGCATGGAGCCCTCCTGCTGGCGCTCATGGTATATCATCGCTGTTAGCGCCTCCAGACCCGCCATGTTGACCAATACCGCTGCTGTTTGTGAAAGGCGATGATGTTGGTGGTAAGAAAGCAAGAAGGAGTGACGCGTCTTGGTCGCAGCATTACGCGTGTCGCGCCACGGTCGATAATTTGCTCGGCAAACAGCGGCTCTCATCGGTCCTCACAGCACGCGCTGTTGTACTAGTAACTGCAAGTAACGTACGCAGCTCGTTGCAAAGTTGCGACACAGCACGCAGCACACAAACTTCCCTTCGTACCACCACTATCTTCACCATGCGAGAACTCCTCAGCAGACGACAGCAGCGCGTGCTGCTTGGCACTTTCGTCACTTTGCTGTATTTGCAACAGGAGGCACACGCACAAGACCCATTTGACTGCCACGTCGCGCTCGACGACACTCATAATTTCGACCTTACAACTGTAGCTGGCGAACATGTTGTGACTCGATCGCGAGACACGCCGCCGTCGCGTATGAGCGATGAGGTGCGCTTTGACTTGTGTGCTGACCTGTCACGAAGAGATGGTGTCGCGGATGGTGACCAGGTACGTTGAAGCAGTGAAACTCTCTAAATTTTGTATAATTTTTATTCTAACTGTTTAATCTCTTATTTATCATAATTCATTGAATTTTGCAGTGTCCTTCAGGAGCCCGTGCATGTATGACGATGACCAACCAGAAAGACAATGAAAACGACCGAGTAATCGCAGCTATCCCGCTTGCCGTATCCTCTTCACTAAACCCTCAAACGTCCATCATTCCATGTACGTAATCCCTTCTAACACTCCTTCTCATACCCTGTCTTCTCATTAAATAATTCTAATAAATTAAATTTAGCGCCAAACAAGGGCCTCAACCTAGTCTTTTCCGGCGGCGAATACCCAAAAACAGACCCAATACCTCAAACCTTCAATATCTCACTCTACTGCGACACAACATCCTCAGACCCAAATTTCGTGTCATACAATGGTGCACAGCTCCGAGTGGAGTGGAAGACACCCGCTGGATGTGCGTTTGACGCGTCGGATCCTTCAAAGGGCGGTAATAAGGACACGGAAGGAGGGAATGATGGAGAGGAGCATGTTGGGAGTGGGGTTGGGTGGTTCTTCTTATTGTATGTTGTTTCAAGTTTGCTGGATATTAAGAACATGGCTGATAAGGAATTTGAAACTTAGACTCCTTATCGCATTCCTTGCATATTTCATCCTCGGTGCATATTACAACTATAGCACATACGGTGCAACAGGCGCAGACCTCATTCCGTTCGTTCTTTTCTCATTTCTCCGTGTATCAGTATTTCTAACTGAATATCCGTGTGTGACCTTGTTTTCCTATAGGCATCGAGACTTTTGGCGAGAAGTACCCTACATCCTCCGAGATATTGGTTCTCATCTCTGTTCTGCATTACGTCCTTCACCGCGGAACGGGTACATCGCTGTTTAACGATACAGCGCAGTATTTTCTAATATACCGTTCTCCTACACTTCTCATTTCTCTGTCTTGCCCTCATGCACTGGTTCTTTTCCTCCTCACCACTGATCACGTACACGTCCTAGTCTAGAAAGTATCTACCTACGTCGACTCATATCCTTCGTTTCTCATCCATCTAATTAACCTCAGATTATTGGGTGCTTCCACTCTCATTTGCTTTCTTTGGCTCCTCATTTTTTCTTTTAAGTTAGCCCGTTTCTTCCTGTTATTACACGCTTGCAATTCGTTCAGTCTGAGCACATATGAGGAGGCATTCACAATCGTCTTTGTCCAGCGTGTTCAGTGACTTGGTGAGAAATATTAACGGGCGTTAACAGAGATCTCATCCATGAACAATAATCGATTATCAAACGCAAAGTTGGTAACATTTTGCAGAGTTTGTCTGCCTGAATTTAGAAAGTAGTTATTCTGCCTTCTATCAAACATGCAATTGCCGACCTTAATCAATATTGATACCCAGGATTCCACAAACACAACTCATTTTAATGGTATGACCAAGTTGTAAAGTAAGAACTAGTCTAAACGCAAAATTCGCATATTTATTTAAGTATAAAATAAATTTCATTTTGTACCCAAAAATGCACAATATTAATTACCAAAGAAAGTAGTGACGATCTATTTCCAAATAGAGGACGGATTTGGACAAAACACATTCAAACAAACATCGACACTCTGTTGCACTTGCAATCTACGTATCGCTGGGTGAGCTTTGGAGACCAAGCTTAATCTTGAAAACCACTGCTTATCTTCTAACAACACATAGTGTAACAACCCGGGTCACCTAGGCACCAGCACATGTTTCTCTGGACTTGTCTAGTGAACACAACAGTAACTGGAGTGCATTTGTTTCCGTTTCATGCACGACCTATGCCGGAGGCCCGATGTGATAGTCTTTCTCCATCTGGAAGACGTTCCTTAAGCTAGACCCTTTACACCGTATATTAACGTGTCTCTGCAGTGGCAGAGCACTTGGCAACTTGGCAAGAAGCGCAATCAAGCTTGGACTTTGCTTAATTTTGTCGCCTTTAGCATGCGTGGCGTCTGTTCGGCAGAAATATCCAGAAAATGTATCAAATCTAACTTTGGAGACAGGTGCTATGTATGGTGATATACAATACCTTTGTCTTTTTCCTCTGATGAACGATCGATCTGTGACTTGTTTTGGGGTGGCGTACATTGCACAAGTTGTTTCCTACCAACCTTCGTCATGACACTTTTCTATATGTATAATCTATGTCTTCTTTCAGCAATCTCCATCAATTTCCCTCATGTCATACAAAGAAGTTCAGCAGTACCCTGAAAACACGGACATCGATGAAACCCCTGAAAAGGCAGATTTCGAGAAAAATACTGGTGAAGCTAGTACTGTAGAGGTCCCTTTACTCGAAGATGATGTCGTCGAAAATCGCGGCGACGGCGTCAGCAGCGCATATGAACGGAAGAGTCATTTGAGTACGGTATTCCTTACCATCTCCTTTGGGTTATGCTTACGATATCCTCTTCTCAGTTAACCAGTGCCTTCAGCATGAGATTGGTTTTGGCAGCTACCAGAAAAAGCTATTCATCGTAGCAGGATTCTCTTGGACAGTAGATAGTAAGGTTCATAATTACATATTGTTGGCTTCTGGCTCATACTACTTTGCGCATAGATCTATGGCTACAAGGCGTAGCAGTAATCCTACCTCAAGTGCAGTCTGACCTGCATCCGCCTAGGGTGGAGTATGTATTACTTGCACTCTATGCGGGACTAATTGTTGGTGCAACCTTCTGGGGCAGTCTTGCTGATGTGGTAGGTCGGAAGGCCTCATGGCAGATCACCTTCTTCGTATGTGTGAGTTATTCTTATTATCTCTTTTACCAATGCTGTGTGTCAATTACAGATTACGCTATCATAGGGTGTGTTTGGCGTTGCCTCAGGAGGGACTCAAAACTTTGTTTCGCTCTGTTCGCTTATGGCATGCGTTGGCTTTGGTGTCGGCGGAAAGTACGTTATCTCCTTGAATTGGTGACCATTACTTACATCTGCGCCTTTCAACGTATCAGCATGCCATTGACTGGTATGTTTGTTCCAAGATTTCGCTTGCGGCGTGTGTGCTGAAATGATCCAGGTACTCTATTCCTAGAGCACCTCCCGCAGTCTCACCAGGTTCAGCCATTGTCTCGCTTTGGTTGATCTGTAGTTGATTTTAAAATTTTACAGAGGCTCTTGACATTCTTATCTGCTGCCTGGTCCGTTGGCCAGCTAATTGCCTCCTTGATTGTTTGGGTATTTATTGCTAATTATCCGGATGACAAGAGCTGGAGATATTCATTGTATGCCCTATTACTTTTCACTTCTCTACTGGTCTTCTAATCATTCTATTGGTATAGATATACAATGTAAGGATAAGCATTTTTGAGGCCTATGGTTGCTTATCGCCTTGGACAGGGGTTGTCTAACATTTGCGATGTTCTTCTGTTCTTTTATCCTTATTGGACTCCAAGAATCTTCTAAATTCTTGATCGCGACCGGTCGGGATGAAGAAGCAATAAAAGTATTGGAATACATTGCCAAGCATAATGGTAAAACTATTTCGTTGACAACAGAGAAGTTAGTGGTCATCTCGGATGACACTCCGAAACGCCTGCAAGATACATCTGTCCGAACATCATTCAAGAGATCCTTCTCTCATTTCTCATTGTCAGTGAAGTGAAGTTACTTATTTCATGTCTTTAACCCATAAAACTATAACAGGTCGCACGTTCGTAAACTGTTCTCCACGAAGAGGCTTGGCATCAATTCAGCACTTATCATCCTAATCTGGGGGTGATTTACCATCTCTTTGCATCTATTTACCGAGCTGACCAATTGGTTCAGAATAATCGGGCTTGCATATCCACTCTTTACCGGATTCCTACCCCTTTACCTTTCAGACCGCCTCTCCTCTAGTTCAGAGGATCAAACATATCGGGACTATAGTATTGCCTCAGTCTGCGGTGTTCCCGGTTCTGTCATTGCGTGCATTTTTGTCGATTGGACACGAAGTACTGGGAAGATCGTAATTGGAGGGAGAAAAATGGTACTTGCTGTCTCTACAATTCTTACGGGTATTTTTCTCTTTCTGTTTACTACGGCTAAGAATGAAGCTTCGAACCTCGGTTATGCATGTGCATCCACTTTGACATCGTGAGTTTGTAGCATGATTCTGATATCCTTCAAGTTTACTTTAATACGCTTTCTGGATCTAGGAATGCTGTGCGTAATGTACTGTTCAAAATCAATTACTCAAACACCTAAACCTAGTAATTTCAGATGTACGGCGTTTTGTACGCTTACACCCCTGAAGTCTTCCCTGCCCCCCATCGTGGAACAGGTAATTCTATTTGCTCTGCATTCAGTCGTATTACAGGTGTTCTGGCACCAATCATCAAAATTATTACTACAAACCATGATGGTAACACTTCCAGCATCGGACCAAATGCGTAAGCACATACTATTTGTACTGGATTCTTCCTTTTCGCACCTGATTGATTCAATCCTCAAGCCCCTTATTCGTATCTGCGTCACTGTTCATTGTATCGGCAATTCTAACTCTCCTGCTACCAATTGAGGTGATTCTTTTCCGTACTTTGGCTTAATGCATAAACTCACGTTAAGCTCGTGTGTGAAGACTGCCGGAAAGGCTGCTCTTTAGTAGACACAAACGGTGCAACTGTGAACTACGCTTCACAATAATTTAAAGTAAGTTGCTACAGAATCCAGCTTTTACCTGCAGCATCGTGCTCTGTTATCTTCTTACCAACAATTCGGACATGAAAGCGAAGTAAATTGAAAATGAAAACATGAGTAACTGCCAAGCATTAACCGAATCATAAGCACTATAATAGAACTAAAGCAAGTATTGTATCGAAGTTATGAATGCGTTGAAAAGGGAATGACAGCTAGCTACCATTGTTAAAATTTCACCTCTCCAGCATTAGAGTAAATAGCAAAATACTTAAATTATCAAAATAAAAATGAAATGAAATGAATTATATAGTACTACTTTAATTCACATAAGAATATTCAATGTGTGGATACATAGAATGTTAAGCAAAGTATGCATTACTGAATACATGACAGCATTCATACAGTTGACTAATATATTAATGTCCTATATTACATTGTTACTCTTATCCATTACTGTATATATTAAGACCTAATTAAAGACTAGCAACAATATATCCACAATTGAATGTAGTCTACATGGTGCTTTTTTATTATAAGATTGTAGTTATTAGGCTTTGCCAAAAATATAAATTAATTGTAAAACACTATTTATATATGTTTATATTAGTTTACATATATATTACAAAGTTGTATCTATACAAGCAAATATAAGTTGTAATTAGTGTACTAGTTATAGTTATAACTTAAAAAATACAAACTGTACTGTATACAGTACAGTTTAAAATTGTGAATATGGAATAATATAAAACACAAGTTTATAAATCTAGCTTTGTCTAAAAGATAAATGTATGTCTTAATGTTATTTTCTAGAGTATTATATATTAATTATAAAATATTTCTGCCTACCCCTTACTTTGTATATAGAACATTGTGAAGGATTTAATAAAATGGTAAATTATTTTTATTTATCTTATTATACAAATATATAAAGAGACTAGTTAAAACTTTATCTAAAAAGTAATAATTTGTATATTGTATTGTCTGAGTCTTTACTATTACTACATTCTTGTCTTTTAGTATTTATTATAATAAGTATTATACATTACTAAATATATATATAAAGAATACAGTCTTACTGCCTTTTTCATAAGTATTGTCACACTTGATGATTCATTAATTTTTGTCACAAAAGTAAACAAAACAACAAAATAGCTATTTCTCACTCAATTCTGTACATAATTCAGTGATTATTTGATGTAAATTCATGTTTTCTAAATATGCTTCAAATAGACACTTTAATTAT